CTAACTTAATGCATTACATCGACACACTTACCATAGCTCTATAAAATGCTTTAAGGATGCTGGTAAAGAGTGGTGCTTGTTTTACTTTTCTCAGAAAGTGACGTTCACTTGCTTAGTGATCATGTGAGATGCCCAAATATTTGCTCTTCAAAGGTTCTCCAGTCTCAAGCCATTAAATGTGGAAAAATATGTTTTGTCACATCCAACAGGTAGCTCCTTTGCTTCCGTCCCTCTACATATACTTTATCTTCTGTTTATCTTTTGCAGACGGTGGATATTCACAAAGAGAAGGTGGCCCGTCGAGAAATTGGCATCCTGACCACCAACAAGAACACCTCTCGCACCCACAAAATCATCGCCCCGGCTAACATGGAGCGGCCTGTGAGGTACATCCGAAAACCAATTGACTACACGCTGCTAGACGACGTGGGACACGGTGTCAAAGTAAGAGAAGACATTAGAAACAAGTTTGTACACCTAATTAATCAATGCTTTTTAGAATTTACTCACATGCCCAGAGATGAGAAATTAATCCAGAATGTTCAAGGGTTTCTGTGCAAAATAAATCTGATACAGTATAAAATTGGTCTATGTACCTTTTGGAAAAAAGATAATTGTAAAAAAAAAGAAGAATATTAGTAATTCAAGATTTAATTCCTCATTATTATTATTCTCATCCATCCATCCATCCATGCAACCAAATATCTAACATAGATTGTGTACATTGATTCCTACATTAAATTGTGTAGAAACACTTACTACACTTCTCTGCAGTTTAAGATTAGTAATCTATATGGGTTAGATGCTGAGTTTATCAATCAATCTTTGTTTGAGTCCTGCAATGTCTAAGGCTGGAAGTTATTTAGTGTGTGGGTGTTTGTGTGTGAGCACAAATCTTTTCCAAGTGTTACTCAAAGCATTACATTCACTGTTTAATCAAAGAAAAAGAAAATCTTTTAGCCTTCTTCCGTCCGTTTTTCTATCCGTTCTCTCCATGATCCATCCTCTCCTCTGCCTTCTCATTTCCTCTGCTTTTGAAGGCCGTGCGTTTGTGCTTGTGTGTGTGTACAACCGGTCATGTGCATAATGTGTTCGACTCGGCCTATGCGTCGTTCTCCCGCCCCCCTGGGTCTGTCTCTGTTGAGATAGCGGCTGTCTGCCGATTTTCAAACATCCGCTGATTCAAATTCAAAAGCCACTGTCCTCTCCTTTGAGAGCTGGCTCACAGTGAGGCAGATTTGGCATGGCTGACTATGCAAATCAGGCATCATTCATGGACACAAGAGATGGTAGATCTCTGTAGAAATCAGTGCAGATCATTTGAGGTGCAAAAAGGCTCGTCGTTCTTTTTTATCAGAGGTTGGCGGAGCTCAGAAGTCTGTAAAATCAAAGATTAGTATTCTTTGGTCTATTTGGAAAATATGTGTCAGTTTTTCAGACCATGACCTTTTTGAGCCTTTTTTTTCTCTTGCATTTTTAAAGGGTGTATTCATATCTGCCACATTTGGTTTGCTTTATGCAGAGTTTGTTTTCCTCCTTGGAAACTAACTCAAGCAAACCATGGTCTGGATTAAACAACCCACTTTATGGAGTGGTCCAGGTCACTGTGGTTTAGTTCCCTGTTGGTCTGAATACAAACCAGCCTCAATCAGACCTAACTACAGAAAATATACATCTGTTTGGACTTAACAAGCCACCATAGCAGTGGGCTTACCTGATTACCATCTGTTGCTTAGTAACACAGAGTAACCTACTCTTGCATGTTTCAAAAATGAAAAAAATAGAATGTCTGAAACCTATGCTGAATTAGTTGCTATTTACACAATTATTTCATAGCTGCAGAGAAGAGAAGTTTGCTGAAATGAGGTGCTGCCCACATACCATCAACAAGTTTCCTTCACTTCAGGGTCTGTGCCTGAACCTTGGGAATCAGAACTGGGAAGTTGGAACATACTGTCCAAGGTGATAGCTTTCCAAGTTCCCACTTATGGACACCAGTATAGTTCAGTTATTGTAACCCAATGTTACAATAACAGTGACTAAAACAACTGTTATACACCGTATTGTATGCATTGTAAACATCAATTTAAAGGGGAATGCCGTTTTTTTTTTTACATTGGGCCCTTGATTTTACGTTATTACATCATGTTCTACTCACCCATATGAGTTTAGTGTCATTTTGAGCTGTTCTGAAGATATTCCGTTAGGTTATATCCAATTAACGTCTTCCTATGGGCAACGAGTTGAAGGCACAAACTAAACTGTTCATAATTTATTCTTTATGGTACGCCAGCATTCATAACATGTAATCACTGTCCACCAGACATCCGCAGTTATATTTTTTATATTTATATGTTTTAAAAACAAAGTGGCGCGAGTATATGGGTGAGTAGAACATGATGTAATAATGTAAAATCAAGGGCCCAATGTAAAAAAAAAAAGGCGTTCACCTTTAATATCTTGTCTTATGAGCATTGAAGAGTAGTGATAAAGAACGTCAAAGGACAGTTTAGTAACTTTTGATAGTTGCAGCAGCCATCTTGAATGCTGAAGGGGTGTCAAGTTAAAGTTTTCTTACCCAGTTGTCAGAAATTCAACACTGATTAGAACCATATCACAGCATCTGTCTTGCCATGTTCATTTTTGTCCAGTTGGAAGCAATGCTCATCACACGCATGGCTTTATTACACTCGATACACATTTGCAGGAAGTACAATTTTAAAGCTACGGGTGTCCTGATACCACTTCCAATACAATACTTATATTACAGCTTGAAGCGATACCGATATAGACCTATGACCATATCAGCAGGAGTCATACTTGCTTTCATCACATATTTTTTACTGTCTTGTGTAGAAAAGATTTGATCAAGTGATTACTGAAACAAGAGAACAATAGTCAACAAACCCTATGAGAACAACTGACCCATGTAATATCAACCAATGATTGAAATATAGGACCAATATAAGATATTAGTATTAGATCAGAACATCCCTTGTTGAAGCAAACTGTATTTTGCTTTAAGTTCAGGCTATCAAACATGATAAAGGAAGGACCAAAGGAATTTCCTTATGTGAATTCCCCCCTAAAATCTTTTTCTCTTCTCCTTCCAGCTATGTGTGTGTATTAAATAGATCCATATGGACAGAAATACCAATCACATTCCAATCCCTCCCATCTCCTTTCTTCTATACACATCTGGGAATAGTTCAGAAGCATCGATACTCATTTCTACAGCTCTCCTTTGCCGAAATACTGTCGTATAAGCTGTATATTATTTGCATATGTAATTTTCGTTTGTACTTTCCATTCATACATTTCCTGTGTGATAGTAGCCTATTAGCACTTCATCCCTGCCGGCTGTTTCTCTTAAACTGTAGCAGATTCCCCCGACTTCTGGAGGCGTTATCTTCCTTCTCCTACCTTTTTTCTTCGCCAGTATGGCTCAGCCAGAAAAAAGAAAAGAAAAAGGAGCTGGAAATTCAGGCACATTCACTTATGCTCTTCTCCTCACTGCAATAACCTTTGTAAACATTGCTGGGAGTTACCACAGCGACAGATTTTTAAACACTTTACAGCGTTGATTGTCTGCTGTTATTTATGACTCCCTCAGACCTTCGTGGTTCCAGGCCTATAGAAAGGCTTAAGACATCAGCAGTTCACATCAATCAAACTGCATGGAGAAAAAAAGGTCCTTAGGATGAGAACGAGCATAGGGTCTAATTGACTTAATTTAATGACAATCCATCTATTTGATAATACTACTGGAAAGAAAGACGTACTAGGAATTTCAGGCCAAAATGTATTTCTTAAAATATTTTATTTATTTATCCTCTCAAAACCCACTGGTTTTAAAGCGTTTAGATATAATAACTCAGAATGCATGAAAATTACGTTGTTAAAATGTTATACCAATATAGACATGTTGGACATCGTTTAAAAGCTTAAATTCTCCACAATTCAACCCCCTAGTTAATGTTATGGACATAGCGAGCACAGAAGCACAATTATAGCAGCATTTCGAAATGTAGCATGACAAAGCAGCCACAACAAGTAAGCATGTCTTTATTACTGCTGTTCAAAAAGACTTATTATTTTCTAGAATAAAAACAAAAATTTTGAGTTAGTTTTAACTGATGCAGCTTGGGCTGCGTTTTACTCACCCAATTTCCATGTACGTATATATTCAGAAACTATAAAGTGTTAGCTTTCAAATAATGTTTCACACATGTAATTCGGGCTTAGATTTCCTCAGTTATTTGCTTTTCCCTTTGGGTATGCAAAATAGGCGAATTTCCCAGAAACTAGGTGGATATTAAGAGGTTATTATTAATTTTGACAACTTTTGATAAGAAGAGCTACCCTCCCATCCACTATGTTCCCAATGTTTTACTAATTAAAAAAATAAATCATCTATTTCTAGGAGCATTAGAATTGAAAAATTTTTTGCATACTCTATTCACTCAGAACAGCATCCAGGTTACTGTTTTTAGTCTTAAGGTGATCATTCAACCAACCTTAATTAGCTTTCACAGTATGTATATTTAAGGCTTTTATTTTGAAGGTTTGGAGAAGGTAGATTATCAGCTAACCCACTAGTTTGGCAATGTCAGAACATTTGCTTGTCTAAGATTAGTTGCAAGCCAGCAAGTATCTGCAGGAAAAATCAGACGTTGTTCTATAATCTGAAATTTGAATAAAAGTAACACTTGATGCTCTTTGGAGCTTGACATTTTGAAACTTTACTTTCATTTAATTTCACTCTTACTCAAGTCACCCCCTAAAAGAACTTTAAACTGTAGGAATAAAATTTAAGTAGATTTGAAATTTTTAACTTTGCAAAACCATGATACTAATTAACAGCCCTACCTGGCTGAAACATTTTAAATCATGCTGATGATACAATGTAAAAGACGCTGTTATTTTTCAATGCATATATGGTACAGCAAACAGGAATGAAAATTGTTTTCAGACTTTGAGGTCAAATTCTTTAGTTTGTCAAAGTTTTTAAACCCTTTCCATGAGCGCCATTTTTTGGTCCATCTCTTCCTGAATACTCACCCACTTAAAAGATTTCCCCTCTGCTATGTATTTTCTCTGTTTTTGGATGTCAGCTCTCAATGCGGTTAGATGGAGATTCATAAGACTCAGACTTATGAATCTTATGAAAACTTACTTTCTTCATTTTTTGACAATTCAATTCCAATAATTTTCTTTCTCATCAGTTTGTAGTTAATTTGAATCAGGGTATTACTTCATTACGTATATACTTTTGCCTACTAGATGGTGTCAGAAAGTATTTAATAATTTGTTGGTTGTGTTTAATGGATTAGGCTGTAATCAAGGTTTGGTTTTTCTGGGGAAATTAAAGCAAAAAATGCATTAATGACTGATTACAAAAATATTGACAAGCGCATTTTTTTCCCCAGATAGGAACTGGTTGAATTTTTCCATAATAAATAAAATGATCTTGCTATCTCTCAGGTTATATCTGTCTAATATTAGGATTTGACTGTGGAGTCCCTCGGGTTTAGTATCTGCGAGAAACTTTTTTATTTCATACATCAAAATTAATAGTTCATATACGATTCCAACTTCAAGACCTGATTCACTCCCGAATATTAAGATTCAGAATCATTATTTTTAACTATTACCCGAATTACATGATTGTGTAGTTATGCAGCTTATTGATACTAGTATTAAATTAACATTCAACAGCAAATTAATGGTTAATGGTGGCTCTGAGGACAGAGGGAAATGGATTTTTTTTTTTTTTCACATTTTTCTGTAGTGATGCGAATCAATCTTTAGCGAATAATATGAGAATCGGTTTAGGATTGGATTTTTTTTAACACAGCCCTAGTATTTAAGTATGCTTGTTTTGCAGATGAAACCAAACCAATTTGTTCTACTGTGTTGAAAGTTCAAGATTTATCAAATTATATGTATATGAATCAAGACTAGGCTTAAAAATGTATTGCATTAAAAAAATACAGCCTTAAGAATTTAATTGAAAAAGTCGAATTGATCTTTCCTCTGAAAATAATTTCTTTAAACACTGCTTTAAATGTCTTTTTTGGATGTCAAAACTAGTTGAAAATTAGTTTATTTTTCCTTGTATAAAGTTTTAATTTCCTCTTTTTTTCTTTCACACGTCACTAAGAAACAGCCTTGCTTTATATAAAACCTAACCAAGCTTTATTACTTGTCTCCTCTTTACCTGCTTGCACTCAGTGGCTTAAAGCCAAGGTAAGAGAATGCTTTGTGTCTTTTTTCTTTTCCATTTGCTGAATGTACAATAAGATTGTGATCCTAAAGCTTTTAAACTTTTAATCAATTTAAAACATGTATAATTAGTGTTTAAATGGTTATCTTCTTTGATGATAACTTTAATGATAAATTGCTTCTATGTATGGAAGGGTTTTTTGCCAGTTGACAAGAGCAGGACCAAGTTAAAATTACAGAACAGTCTTTTTTTGCATGTATTTAAATATTAAACTACCGGTACCAGATCTGCAGAAAGTTCATCATAAATGCTGATTTCTCTTCTTCTTTCATATTATTATTGCTATGAATAAGCGTCAAATGTCAGTAAACGTCCATAACCTCTATAAAGGCTCTGAGGTTTTTGCTTCTCCTCACCTCAAACAGTTTAGAGTCTTTATTTGGCTTAGATAAACAAGACTATGTAAAAACCTCTGATTACCTCCCATTCTGCTTCTATAGCAACATGGGAACAATGCAGCAGGACGAGGAGGCACCCTTTCCAGGACCAACCCACCCTCACAGAAACCCCCAAGCCCCCCTATGGCTGGTCGGGGTACACTTGGGTAAGAAGATACTACATATTAAAACAAGAGACTGATCATTTATTTTTCTCCATCCTGTCCAAATGGGGTTATTGAATTTTGTTTATTTTCCAAACCTTTTTTTTTTGTTTATTCTGAATTTTAAACCTCTTTTCTCTTCCTTGCTTTGTCTTAATCCAGACGTAACACCCCATATAAGACTCTGGAGCCTGTGAAGCCCCCAGTGGTTCCTAACGACTACATGACGAGCCCGGCCCGACTGGGAAACCAACACAGCCCCGCACGCACAGCCTCACTCAACCAGAGACCCAGGACACACAGGTAGCAGCACCAACATGCACACCTATGGCTGAAATAAAAGCTTGCCTGTCACCAAACTCCGGTACCAAAGAAACCTTTTACATACAACATCTGAACCTGTTACCATAGCAATGAGGCAACTGTTATTTCAGAACAACACATTTTGGAGTAAAGACAGGCTATTGTGTAATTTGGTTTCCCTGATATTATCTTTTCTGCTGTTTCTGCAGTGGGAGCAGTGGAGGCAGTGGTGGCCGGGAGAACAGTGGAGGCAGTGGAGTTGGGATCCCTATTGCTGTTCCCACACCTTCTCCCCCCAGTATGGGGCAAGGTGAGTCCCAACAGCTGAAAGATTGAACAGCTTCTTTGCATATCCGTCTGTGTTCTCTCACTCAAAGATAGAAACACTCTTCCTCTCCCTCAGTGGCACCCTCCTCTGCATCGGTGCCACAGGGTCCCGGCTTGGGTCCTATCCCCATGTCCCAGTTCGGCACCATCTCTCGCCAGATCTCCCGTCACAACTCTTCCACCACTTCCTCGGCCTCCATGGTATCGGCAACAGGCACCTACCGCCGTGCGCCCTCCGTCTCCTCCCAGCAACCTCACATCAACGGTGGCCCGGCGTTTCAACCAAATCCAGGTCCATATTTTGTTAGAAAACGTTCCTTTTAGAATCAAAGACAGATTATTATTTTTTTTTAATCATAATACTGGTTTTCTTGTTGGTTTTATTTGGATTTTATATGTCTGATCCTCAAATAAGGTCATAACCGTAAAAGAAGAAGGGGATATAATACACATTTTTGAGAACAAACATCTCAATAAATGTGGCTTAGAGTTGCATTCAACCTGAAAAAGATAGGATTTATAATTTAGAGAAGCAGCCAAGGGACCCTGGTTAGCTTCGGAGGAGTTGCACAACTCATGTGGAACAATCTTTTTGCATGAAAACCAGGTCATTTACTCAACCAATCTGGTTCTTATAAAATATGGCAAAAGAAAACAACAACATGTCCAGAGTAGTGTACTATGGGCCTTGTAGGGGACACAACAATAATTTGGAAGAAGGGTCTCTGTCCTGATATGACCATAAAAACACAGCTGATGTCCAGCAACTATCCAGCTTTTGTGATATTTGTTTTAACATTATTTCATATAGATTTAAGACAAAACACATCTGGAGGGAAACATGTCTTTTAGGAGATGAAGCTGGGCTGGTAGGGTCAGAGACACAAACAGCAGCTAGACAAAGGGAAACCCAGGACACATGCATAGAATAAATCTTCGCCTGCGTCACTCTTAGCTGTTCTCCTCTAATGGCTCCTGTCTCAGAGGACGACCATCATTCTTGGCAGAAAACACAGAAGGAGGAGGCTGTCTGTCTCATGGCAGTCCCTGCGCTGGAGCAGCTGAGCTGGCCTAAATTGACTCTTGGATTTGCAGCAGTCAGTTTTTGATCACAGGAAGCAGCTTGTTGGTTTGACACGTTTTAGCTGCGGATGGATGTGGCTCACAGATGACAGCAGGCCTGAGTAATAAGGTGTTACATCCCAGTGAGACTGTAGACGCCCTTCCATTACATGTGATTTATGAGTCAGCTAGCGTGTCTTAGCCTGACATCATGTCTTTGAGTGTTTGCCTGTCCGTTTAATCCGCTTTGGAGGCTTTTTTTGTCCTTGCATAATTGGAGGAAAGGTATTTGTGAAATAAAATCTTACAATTTATCCCAACAAACAGTTATATTATTTAATTGACAAAGAATTCATACAAATGCTCCAGCCTTCCGATTACTTTTTAGAATACAAGAAACAGTTTTTTGAGCTCCTGCCGCTGCCCTGGGTCCGGGTGTGTAGCAGCCCTCTGCTTTACTCTGTGTTTGAATCTTTTGGCAGGGTCCAGTATCCTTCTTTATTGAATTATAATTAGAACAATTAAGACAGATCCTCAAACTGAGATTTTCCTTTTAGATCTGAATGCCTAAATGAATCACTCAGCATTTCTTCCTGCACCGTTTAACTTCCTCAGAGCTTTTTTTTTGTAGTCTTTCTTACCACGCTGACTTTCACTCCTCTGTCATGTCCTTCTTTCATCTCCATCCTCTTCCCTGTCCGCCTCCGCTCTCTGCTGCTTCCTTTGCTTCTTGCCTGGGTGTCGCTGCTTCAGTGTCTGTGAATCCTCCGCCTCCTCCCCCCATGGTCCAGCTGACCCCACAGATCCCTCTGACCGGCTTCGTGGCCAGAATGCAGGAGAGCAGTAAGTACGGCATCACACTCTAAACATGCAGACGTGCCAGTGAGGAAACACATTTAGACGTTTGCTATCACAAATGGATGGCCGATTCGTCTCCTTTACGCTTTTTCACTCAGCTTCAGTAAAACTACCTTTACTCAGCCTGCAAAGCTGCTGGCGGAGCATCCTCTGATGTCTGGAGGTTACCATAGTGATGAATCAGCCTGAATCCTCTACTGTCTGTCCACTAGAGGTAGAAAATGTGACCTGATGGCTTGTCCTGATTTCCCAACCTGTCTTGTTTGTCTGCAAGGCATCACATTAAATCTAGATCTTTTTTTTATGTCATATTTAAAATGCTTTTCTCCACAGCTGCTTCTATCAGTATTTTCTCTGTTTTTATGTAGAGTCGGGCTTATCAGTAAATACAGTTCCTTCTGAAAGTCATTGAACCTGTTTGCAGCAATAGAGCCACACTTGTTTGATTGACAGACGCAATAAAAGTGGTGCAGAAAGGAATAGTACAACTTGTTTATAAATGCTTTTTAAATACAAATCTAAAAATTGTGACATGTGTTCAGCCCTTTTGAGTCACTGCTTTGCTGAAAGTCCTTTATGATTTTTCAGTTTGGAACTTCATTTCCAATCCAGTTTTCCTAAGAAATTAGCAAGTCAGGTAGAATCAAGAACATTTGTCAGCATCATTTTTCAGGATTTGCCACAGATTATCTGATTTAATTGATTTGATAATCTTTTACTGATTATTCTAATACATAAACAGGGATTGATAGCTGTCCTATCCTATCCTCTGGCTGTATATTTAGGGTTACTCTCCTTCACGCAGGACTCAAGTCTTCTGCACCCTTACACAGGTTTTCCGTTCAGGAGAAAGCATCTGCTGAAGCATCCACTATACATGATGCTGTCTCCACCTTGTTCCATCATAGAGGTTAAGTTGATTTGCAGTGTTAGATTTTTAGGTTTTAGGGAGAAAAGAAGACAACAGGATTCACTTATAGTCACTTGACACAGGAGCTTTCATTAGGATTTATCTTCAAAGGGTGGGACATTTTAAACAGATATCTGTTTGCTGTTTTATCTCCCTGAACTCTGTTTTATTACAAATAACTCTGCCAGAAATATACTTAAAGTCTAAATAAATCCTGCATGTAATAAAACCAGTCTCAGGGATTTTTTTTTACTGTGAAGCTAAAACAACGCTGGAGTAAATTGTCTGGCCAATGGAAAAATATTTGACTGGAACAAAAGAGTTGCATGAAATTCCTTCTGCCCTAAAACTAGATCATTGGTAAAGAAAAAAAAATAATGTTTAGAAAAACTAGCATGTGAAAACAGATGTGACATGGAGTTAGAAACCAGAAACACACATTATGAAAACCAGCCCTTTTGAATGGTTCAGTCAGGATCCTTCACTGCCCTCTAGTGGTCAAGTAAATCAATGCAGAATAGTTACATTTCTTTTTTCATTAAAACAGTTTGCTAAGATTCATAATAAGTGTGTTTTATACCTTGTCAAACCAGTAAACAAACTGTTTTGAATTTATTTTTGTGATCCAGTCACAGACAGCCCAGCCCCACCTCCTCCACCTCCCCCTGAGGATATAGGTGTGTTTGAGGAGCCTGCCCCTCCTCCGCCTCCTCCACCTGTGGACTACGAGGAAGAAGATGCTGCAGTCGTTCACTACAGCGATCCCTATGCTGATGGAGACCCCAACTGGGCCCCAAAGGTCTACTTAGAGAAAGGTCAGTGCAGGTGGAAACTTGGAAACAGGAGGGTATTACATTCAAAGGCACTACAAAGACTCCATGGAAAAATTTTGTAAAATCCTTCCATTATAAATTCAGGTTTTGTTTCCAACCTGATTGGATTATTATTATTATATGTTATATTATTATAGTGAACATTTAAAGGATGGAAAATATGAAATGATATTAAAATCCACTACTTTATTATCAATGAACAAAAAACAGTTTTAATTTCATGTTTATTTTTCCTAGTTGTGGCCATCTACGACTACACGAAAGATAAGGAGGATGAGCTGTCCTTCATGGAGGGTGCCATCATCTACATAATCAAAAAGAACGATGATGGATGGTTCGAAGGTGTCTGCAACGGTGTCACCGGTCTCTTCCCTGGGAATTATGTAGAATCAATCATGCATTACGCCGACTAAAGAAAATATCCAGTAAGGAAAGAAAACAGGAATGATGGAGCTCAGATGTACAGAGTGCAGTGAAGAGAGATAGAGCTCCCCTTTTGAGTAAAGTGCCATGGTGAATTTTTTTCAAATGATTTTCCTTTGGTCTGCGGGAGGTTTTGTTTTCATTTGGCCACTAAAATATGGATGCGGCACATATAAGGTTGGAGTTTGATGTTTTTACAGGTTGCAGTCTGTTAATTTACACTGGAGATTAAAAGAGGAGCCTCACTAGAATTTAGTCCTAATCAGAAGTTTTTCAGGGCAATTCCAAAAACAAAAAGATTAAGCTAAAAACAACATACAAACTCCGGTGAGGCTCTAAAAAGTTCAAAATGCTACCTGATCATTTGCACTTCGGAGCACCAGAGCAACTCTTCCCTCCTCTCAAACAGACAGAACATCCAGACGGAGCTTCAGGACACGACTGAACGTTCCAGGTTTAAGAGCGGGGGCCTGACGGTGTGTGTATTTACATTGCTCTGTGTCGATTACAAAGGAAGATTGTACAGAATTCATTAATAGTGAAAAAGACAATTTCCTTCTTCAGTCTGGTGAAGTTTTTTTTTTCCTGTACTCTAACTTGTATATATAAGGTGTATCGTGACCAACTGCCAGTACAGTACATGTGTCAGCGTGCTTCGTCAGTGGAGGAGAGCGGTGCCAAGATTGGACTTCTTTTTAAATTTTGCTCATTTTTACACGAATGTTCATTTATCCTTAGTCACCGTGCCATTTCCACTTTATCCCTACACAGTGATGGTGTTTTAATGTTCCAGCTGTTATCTTTTTGATCATCGCCGCTGTATTCAGTATCCGAGCTACTGGAGGCTTCAGAATGTGAAGCAGAGGAAGGACTCAATGTTTCTTTTTCCTTTGTGTTGTAGCTGCACTGTTATCAACAACTGTACTGATTTTTATTTCCATTTTGGGTGCGATTCCATCACAGCGGTTGCTACGTGAAGAAGACACTCTTAAGAACTTGTTTTATTCTGCTAACATTTACTGGTGTGGTGCTTTCCAGTTGGTGCTTAACGACCTTCGCCACCAACCCAAACAACCTCAAGTGCAACACTCCTCCGTTAAGAACTGTAACAAAGAGATGTCCTCTCTTTCTCTCATCGCTTGTTTTGATTGTAAACTCCTTCACTCATACTTGTGATGTGAATGTAGGCAAATCAGCGGTAAAGTACCGTCAGTCACCTCTGTCTGTCTCCAGATTCTGTGCTAATCATGTCTAGCTCTTTTAGGTAATTTAAAAGGGATTCGTTAGTGTCGCTTATCAAGGTTCTCAGTTATTAGTGACATTTCCCTCACCTGCTGTGCTCGTATGGAATATTGCATGGAGTTTGTGGGAAAGTGAAATCCTGTGAAGGAAAAAGGCAATTCAGTCATTGTTATAGCTAATGTTAGCAAATGAAAACAACTCAAACTCTATATTTTCATGCTGTAGGGAAGATTAGACACAGTCATCCCAGTTTTGCCCTCTCCCTTTATTGCTTCCCCAGCTAATCAAAATTGCCGAAACTTATCAGAGAATCAGGGACGTAAAAGTACACTGCATTTCCACAAAATAACAGACTCCCTACTTATAGCCGCTAGCAGGGTTCCTGCTCAGCACAGGGTGGTTCTAAATAAGTGCTCATTGGTAAAGTAAGTTTTGTTTTTTTATGTCACAATCTTTTGCATCCTGCTATTTAAGAGGCGCTATGACTTGGGATGCACCGATACCGGGCCCAATACCAGAATCAAGGACTTGTATCTGTAAAAACGACCCGATACTCTGAGCCGACACCACTTTTATATCTGACAAGATCAGTATTAAAACAGTTAGGTGTAGCCTAGCTGCAGCTGTTAAAAGGCCCTTCCCTGTTGGAAAAAAGCCTCTAATGCAGCTAAGCTGTACTGAATCCAAGGTAAAAGTCTGACTTTGGCAGCTTAGCACTTTACAAAATAAGATCAAAAGTTTTTAATTTGACAAAGCTTTTATTTAGCACTTGTATCCATACTCTAATGACAAGTACTAAAGTATCAGTACTTATACTAGATTGGAAAAAATCTGATGTCAGGACATTCCTAGCTGTTACCCTTTGATACAATCCTACTTTAGAGGTTAACACAAAGAGTCGCCCCCTGGATACCTTTAGTAATTCACAACTTCCAATTCGTGTCTTCTGTAAATTGTGGCTACCGGTAATCCTTTCCTGAAGTAGAAGAGTTGGAGTATCTTAAGGTTTCATTCAGGAGTGAAGATCTCCCAGTGAGGTAGATAGACCAATCGATTCAGGCCTCAACTCTTCTGTTTTCTGTTAATATTCCGACCGCCACATCCAGTCAGGAGAAGAAGCTGAAATATGTTTCCTCTGTAGGTTTTTCCACATGGCATCAAACATCAGCTGCGCCATGTCAGTACCATTCTGCTTTGTTATTACTGATAGAGCTTCCCCTTTATCTGAAGCGTTGATGCTCCTGAATTTGGATTCTTTTAGTTAAACGGATTGAGAGAACAGAAGCAAGCCTAATGATAAACTGTGGATCACAGACAATGAAATTGAAGAGGGAGCTTGGCTCCAATTTTCTTCACTTTTCTACAAACTGGCTGCACTTTGACATTTTTACAACTGGTGAAGGAACTGCTGCTGATAACTTTGATGAACCCCTCTCCAACAACATCAGAAGTGTCCCTTTAAGGTTTTACATATGAAGGGTTTTGATAGTTTTCTCTCTAAAAGGAAATATCTTCCCCCAGCCCTATAAAATGATTGTTGGTGGAAGTAAAACTCCATATCTTTAAAGCTGGAGCCAATCTATGTGTTGGCTTTTTATCTTAAAAGACTTTTACTTTAAAGGGGAATGTTTTTATGATATAAGCAGTATTCAGTCCGCCTCTCTGCATGACAGTATCTCATTTATAGATGATAATTGTCTTCTAAGTCTCTGTCTTGATTGTATTTTACATCATGAGGTCATTTTTTACATTTACAACCTTTTCTACGTGATGCATTTTTTAGCTTTGCATTCAGCTTGTTTTTATGTTTCATGTGTGAGAAAGAGCAGAGAAGCTCCTGCTCACAGTTTTTTACGCGAAGGCTTTATTTATACGCTTTTGTTCTCATTCGGAAATCACGAGTCGGCCACTGGTGGAAAAGAAAAACATTTACTCGCTCCAGCACCGGTGCGTTACAAGACATGGCACCCTTCTCCAAGGTGTTTTCATACGGTCAAATGTGGAATAAATGAGAAATAAAAACATGTTTAACTTAAATGTTGATGGGAATAGAATCTGATGTTTGTCCCCCTCTCAATTTGTACATAGGATGTGTTCATTGAAATGTATGTACAGTCTTTTTGTAATAAACAGTCCAATGAAACAAGTGTCAAAACAGACTTTTTTGAAATGATACTGTTTTTTTTTTTTTATAATAATAACTTTATTTTTATACTATGCAGGCTATTTCTTTGGGTTCCTTGGATTGAAAAAGCATCAATTATTTATTATTTTTCATGTCAGGAACAAAATAAAATAAGCACTTAAACTCAGTTAAGAAAATGCCTTTGTTAAGGTTTAACAGAATTACTAGTATCACTGACATTAGTAACACTTAACAACCTTTTAAAATTTTTGTCATTATTAAATTGCTGTTCATTCCGAGGCACTTTTAACAGGAATGTTATTTTTTTTAATTGTAATTCAGTCAGAATTTGGTAAAAAACGAAAAAAAAAAACAAATATGGTTAACAATGAATTGATCAGTTGTGTAAATCCCTTTATTGTCCCACAATGGGGAAGATCACTCTGCATTTGACCCATCCCCTTGGAGAGCAGTGGGCTGCCATTGTGTGCCGCCCGGGGAAGTTGTTTTAATACCTTGTGTTGGTGATTTTTGTTCTGAGCTTGAGTAATATTACTTTATAAATACTTTTTTTAACTTTCCAATCTATAAAATGAGTAAATAAAGAGTGTATGATTTATGCAGAAATCAGGTCAATATCTGTTTTGGAAATATTAACCCTTTTAAGCCCGATCCAAGATTAAAATAAAACAGAAAATTACTTTTTTTTTGGTTTCAAGTCCTTATTTGGCCTTTTAATAAAGCGGTCTGTTATCAGGTATATCTGATTGTGTACAATAGGATTTTGAGCAAAGTTTTTACCATTAAATTATGCAAAAGGTGTCAGACGCAAAACATTTCAGAAACCGTATGTATCAAATATGATACATTTGGCATTACAGGGTTAAAGATGTATTTGGGACTCCCCTAACTTCTAAAAAATCTTTGGATTCTTCTCATGTTAAAATATGTGAAGCCCCATAAGGAGCAGTGAATCCTTACAACACAGTATGTTGGAAAAATTAGCCTTACATCCTAACAAATGTTAGAGTACAGTCCAATAAATGGAGGGCTACACTGTTTTTCTTTTGCTCTAATATTACCACAGATCATTTATTAAACAGTAACTAACTGACAGTGATGCTGCTACAAGAGATGCCAACAAACAACATTTTGTTTTATCCTGTACAACAATGATAAAGCCTAATTTTATATGATAAAGCCGATACCAGTATCATTATCGGGGCCCCGATCCAGCACTAAAATGGTGGTATCGGTATCGGTGAGTACCAGCAAATAGGGCACCGATACCATTTTGAGAGCCAAAAGTTTATTCAACTATTTTCACCCATTCTAGGTAGGCAATAAAAAGTTCTACTGGATTCACTTTGTATTTGTCTTTTGCCTGCTTCCAAAAGGTAGGCAGCAGCTTTACAAAAAGCCATGATGGCAATTATTTTACATCCAAATAGTATGCAGTTCTTCATATATACACACACACACATCAATTTCAAACAGATGGTATCGGTATGGTATCGATGTCGGCCAATACTGCACAGCCAGGTATCTGTATCGGGGCCAGAAAATGGCATCGGCGCAACACTATTACAGCTCATTTGTGACTTCCACCTTAAGTAAAAACCTGTATTCACAGAATATTTAAAATAATTCCTGGATCCAGATGCTGATCCGATCATCACCATAATTAAATAATTTGTTTCCAGTCACAATATCCAGCTTCTCAAACAATTTTAGCAAAACTCATCCATCCATAACTGTTTTAACAATTTTGAAAACAGACAAACCAACGAGGATGAAAACATAACCTCTGTGGCGAAGGTAAATCTGTGCAATACCAGAACATGTATTCTGGCAATCAACAGCTGCTGCTAAATGTGGCCTTAATTAATTTTAATATTAGCACTCCTTCAGAGAAGGAAGTTCTTGTTCTTCTTATTGCTGCTATTGTCCAGATGGAGGAAGTTAAATGAAGTCTGGTGGTGATTCAGAGGGAACTTCTTCAGCGGTTATGGCTAACTGGCCTGGATATGGGCTTTCCAGGGAGGTGTTACTGTTGGATTTGTCTACAGAGAAAAAGAAACACACATTCAGATATTTACTAAGCAGGTATTTCCTTCCAGGTGGTAGCTGCTCTACAGTTGACATGTCTAAAAATGTGCATTGGATTGAATCAGTGCTTGAATAGAACTAGTTCTCATAAACCATTTAAAGTCTATTCTTAATAAAACACTAAAGGTGCATTCCCACCTTTGTTTGGTGCATACTGGGGAACTTGCAAAACCGATGTCCTCTTCACTGCAGCTTTATAGTTGTTGTACAGAGCTGCACCATACTGAACAGAAACACAGAGACACATGTTTAAGGTAAATATAATGAACATTAGAGCAGCGCAACAGCATAACCCTCAGATGTGGAATCTGACCTTTGCTATTCTGATTGAGTTGACCCAAAGCAGGAGTGTGTGTTTGTCTTCACAGCACAGGAATTTGATGTAAGGAGACTCTTTCTGGATGCAGGGATGCTGAGAAAAAAAACAAAAAAGAGATTTTATAGCAGAAGCAGAAATTCAGTGAGAAATGTAAAAATTCCAACCTTTAATTTGAGTATGTATGCAGTTGGGTTACAAACCTCAAATAATAATAATTATTTATTTTTTTTTACAAAATCAGCCGTGGTGCAGTGGTTACTGCCTGGATTTATGTCTTGCAAATAAAAGTTTTTATTTCATTATATTTTATTAGGTAAACTAGAAGAGAAACCATTATTTTCCTGTCACTATGCAAAGAGAGCAAGGTGTCGAGGGAGGTGGATATATCGAAGCTCACAGTAAAAATGTTTAAAAGGTTAAACCGGGGGGTTACCAGAACAATTAGACCATGAGTATATAGACATGCCAGGAGAAAAAAGATAAATAAATCTGGACTGTCGCTGCAGTAATCACATGGATATTGCTAAACTCTGCTGGACCTAAACTTTGCTGAGATGAGACTAAGCATGGACTTTTCAGAAGCAAATATTTCAGTTAGGTTTACAATAAAACAGAAAAGCACCTAATGCCAATGTCAAGATGGAGGAAATGTGATGCTGTGGGTCTGTTTTTATATCAAAGGTTCAGGGACCCTGTTAGAAAACACTGCTTCATGAAAAATAATACAGCTATAGGATCAAATCTTATTGACTCTGTGAGCAAAGTGAAAATGAATCATCGCAAAACCTTTTATTGTAACAATGACCCAAACATGCAGCCAACCCAGCACAGAGACGCTTCACCAAGAAAATTAGTTGGAACGTGTGACGGCCCAGGATTCTGGGATGATTTGAATAAATGTTTTCAAATGAAAGGCTGGATTTTTACCAATTTGTCATTGTGGGATTATGCCGCTATAAAAACTGGATTTATTTCAAGGCTTTTGACAGATTTCTACAAGACGTATAAACAAATGTGCATGCATTTGATTAAAGGCCCAAATGGTTTTGGTAGAGGCCCCTCATTTTTCAAACTGGGTCAGTCAGAAATGAACATGCTGACAGCATTGAAATCTTTTATTTAGAGCTACATACATAATAAACAAATACCATATTTTGTATGCGGAGCACAAGAAAATAGTTTCTTTTTCTTTTTTAATCCCACTTCTGACATCACTCTTGGTTAGATGATGGTCTAGTGGTTAGATTAGTGTGCTTGTGCCCTGAGAAGGTTTGCAAGTACCCGGTTTGATCCCCACATCCTGCACTCTGGCTCCAATGTGAGATCAATAAAGTTCAATTATAAATATTAAATGGCTTGTACCTAAATGTATCAGCAGAGGGCAGTGTAGACATACCCAGAGTGTTAATCTGTGTTGTATTTGTTCTTCTAAACAAAGTATCTGCATAACCTCTAAAACCTGCAGCTTAGTCAGACTGTTATTTGAGTCCCCACACATTTTAACCAGTTCTTAATGTTCCCTCGGTTCAGCTGGGACCATGGAAGTCGCTCGGTTCTCACTCTGGTTAAGGACACCCCATTACTGGCCTCTGTTCCTTGTTTTGCTCACCAATTTCCTCTTTCCATTTGCATGTTTTATAAGAGCACTTTCAACAAGCCTGAGAGGAGTTTTTAAACTCCAGCGACTCAGAATATAACAGAATATAACCCACCTGTCCTGCTATAATATCCATAGAGTGCGGTCACACACCTATTGGATGAAAGCTGGTTAAGAATGAATAACCTGCATTTATTATCCTTAACAACTGATAGGACAGCTGCTGTCACTGGAAATCCAGCCACTACAATAAGCTGTTCCTCACAAGAAGTTTAGACTTTTGGAAAATAAAGAAAGCATTAAAGATAATAAAGATAAACTGCATTTTAAAGCCTGAAATGAAGCTTACCTTTAACAGGAAACAGTAGTCTGTGGGAGCTCTGTATTTCTGTTTGTAGCTGTTAGTGGTGTAGATGTTGACTTTTTCAAAGCGAACAAAACAGGCGAGATCAGTGGAAGACTTGAACAAAGACACAGAGGGACAAAAATGTTTGGATCAGTTTAATCTAATCAGGAAAATCCATAGGTTCTTATGATAACTTCCTTTTTACTGTGAGAAGAGCCATTTTAAACTGATTTTGTGGTGTTTTGGAGTCAGTAGCTTCAGTTTCTTAACTAGCTTCATTATGACATTTTTCCAGACGGTGATAGCTTTTGCTTTCCGACACATTTAAGTCATGTAGCCTGTTGTTCAAACTTTGAATCTGCAAACTATACTTGCAGCTGTATCTCTAGCAAAAATAAATCAATTCAGTTTTATTTAAAGTAGAGTTTATTTTTAAATATAGATTGAATCTATGTAATATTATGTCTAATATTTAATGTATATTTTATTTACTCTAAATAAAAAAAAATGTAAACAGCTTTTACTTTAGCCAAAAATATTATATGGAGTTTTTAACAGTTAGCAGTCTACAACTTAAATCAATCAGTAATTTCCAGGTGTAAATACATTTTCAAGCAATTTAAAAAAACAAGAGCTGTCTAGAGGTGAGTAAAAAAATACAGAAGTTTCTTCATGTTTTTTTTTCTGGTAAGCTTTAGAACCTAAGACTGTTTGCCTTACTGCATTTTGCATAGTCACATGTTTCTACATGTTAAAAGAAAGATTAGAATCAAGCTTTGGTTACCATGCATATTTCTGTTTTTGTCTCTTTTTAAACTTTTCTGCCTACTTCTCTCTCAGCAGAGCAGTGTGGTGTTGACATATACCGTCACTAACAGATATAGGGTTACTGGTGCTAAGTGGAAGTCTTACTTCCTAAAAAAGAGGGAAGAAAATATTTTGATTGGCTTCTTCTGACCTTGCTCTTTAAAATGTGTCACAGCAATTTTTTGAAGAATGTATTATACACTTCATGTGGTATATTTTAAAGATGCCTGAGGTTAAAACAAAACCGTATCTTTTACTTATAAGTTCAGCCAGGTCCTTTGTTTCCCGTCTTTCATTATTGAACACACTGATTAACCTGGTTTAATCAATCTGTCTATTTACTGTATGTATATGTCAGCTTACGAGAAGTTAAACTGAGAAGAAAGGATATATATATATATATATATATATATATATATATATATATAGAACCATCAAGAGAAACAAAACTAACCATTATGGTTTTCTATACGGCTTCATCAGTGTCTCACGGTGCTGTTGCTGACCCTTTTTTTTAAGAATTATGATTCATTTCTTTGAAATTTTTTAAGTATATTCCTGCTAAATGGTCCGTTTTCTGTAAAGGTGCTTCTATAGTATTTCAGTCAGTTTGAGATCTGGATTTTTACCAACTCATTACAAGAGGTTGACTCTTTTTTTTTTATTTCAGACCATCGTGTTGCAGATTTGACGTCATGTTTAGGGTTCTTTTCAAAGTAGCCCTATCCATTTTTTTGCTAAACTATCTGAAAGCTGTAGGACAGTTGGCCTTAAGTCACGAATCTAAACTTTTTCAGGTGAACCGAGGTATGGTTTCTACAAAAACATAGTACTGTGCATAATGGCCAAACATCCATCCATTAATCCATCAGGGTCGCAGTGGGGCTGAGGCTATCTACGGCAATCTATGGGCGAAATCCTGGGTACACCCTAAACAGGTCGCCAGTCTGTCGCAGTATGGCTGAACATCTTTACTTTTTTTCAAAAGTTATTTTTCAACAGCTTGCTGTAGGTTCAGATGAGATGTTTATTATTTTTGGAGAGAGTGAACTTTTTCCTGCAGTCTGAGAATGTCCAGTACATTTTTCGCCCCTCAAATGTTTTATTCTTAGAGCACAATATTGGAATTCAAACTGTTTGGAAAAGCTTCTTCAAGGTCATTGCTGGTGTCTTTGCGTTGACATTATCTGTATGCTCGAACTCCCCGGCCCATGCGTTTGTTGAGGTGGTCCCATCTGCTGATGATTAGGTATTCCACTGCTTTTCATTTACAGCATCTGGCTCCTACTTCCCTACTTAAATCCCATAGAAGCAGTGCAGCAACATATTTAAAGTAGCTTTTCCACTAATAGCACTCCACTGTGGCTTCCTCTCTGTGTCATAAATATCTACACTGTGAAGTGTTTGTGTTTTCTTAAGGTTAAATTAAAAAAATATTCCGCTAAGTAATTTATACATAAAACCCTATAATAAAGGACGTATAATTTATAAGGCATGACTGGTGAGATTTCCCTGATGAGTCTTACCTTTGTTTTTCCTTTAGGAACATAATAGATCCCAGAGGCCCTGAGCATGAAGTAGCGAGGTTTCCAAACCTTCTTCCCATCTTCTTTTAAGTATAACATGCCCTCAAGAGTAGGAACGATAACAGTAGGACCTCCAAAATTCTCCTTTTTTAATAATAAAAAAAAGATAATACAACAGGGATTTGATGTAATTATTATTAAAATAAGCAAAAAAATAAAAAACATTTTGTTGTTACTTTAACCAACCTTGATAAGAAGCTCTTTGGCTTGGCTATTCATGCCACTCGATTTCTTTTTCTTCCACATGTAAAAAATCTGCACATTTAAAAAAGAAAGATTTTGCAACTTAAATGAATCACATTTTCAGCATTTTTGCACAAACAGAACGATTCACTTTACCTGCGGCTCAGTGAACATCATGTACTTCTGAGGGATTGATAAGAAATAGAGTTTGTTTTCACTGTGCCGACTCCAAGCAGACAGTGGTTCCACAAGACACTCATGGTCCTCAAAATATCTTTCTGAAACAATAAAAAAATTCACTTTATAATAGGTTCCTGCTCACTGTTACTGGAATATTTAGCATGCACTAGTTGTCGCACCAGTCTGCAGCTCAGGGTTGGTCTCACACAAGCTCCAGTCGATGCTGTTCTCGCAGTGTGTTTTCTCAAACAGCTTATCCAAAACGTCTCTGACGGTCTGCCTCTCGTCTACCATTAGAGTCCTAGAGCTGTTGTCATCCATCAGCACCTTTATGATCAACTGTCAGGGGTAACGTGCTGTGTTTATTAAAACTGTGTGGCACATTGGAAGCAAGATACTGTATCGGCTGAGTTTACCTTTCTCACTTTGGCTTCTTTCAGCTTCTCCAAAGCCACTTTAATTTTGTCCGCCTTTGTCTGAGGTTCATTCTGGAAAACAAAGATATCTTGGATTTCAAATAAAAAGTGGAAAAAGTAATACCTCAAATTTTAATGTAACTTATGTTAAAACAACATTTTTTTTCAAGTGATATAAATTTGATACACAACACATAAGGATATTTTAGGTGTCACACTCTGCTTTTAGCCCTCTTTATGTAATGCTTTGTAGAACCACTCTCCACCTCCATTACACTTTTTTTTAGTCTTTTTTTAGGTATGTTTAATTTCATTTCATCAATGTATCATTTGCGGACAGATCTAGCATCACACCTGTCATTTTATTTTTATTTTATGTTATACACAGTGCAGAGGGAGCTTTTTTGATCTGCTAAACCAGTTTAACAATAATAATTGAACTTTATTGATCTCACATTAGAGTAGTTTATCTCTGCATATAACCCATCTCATAGGGGAGCAGTTGGCTGCCATCGTGTGTCGCATGGGAAGCAGCAGTGTAAGGTTAAGGGTCTTGCTCAGGGACCCAGTGTGCAGGCTTTGGGGATCGAACCTCGTACTTGCAACCATCTCAGAGGACAATTAATTCCGTCTTGAGATAAAATGTGATGTGAATTTATTTTTGCCTTTTTTAGTTAGGATGTTTCTGTAGCTGTTGCAGTATCTGGAAAATATTCATCATAATTTATTTGTGCATTTGAAATTAAGAGAATAGTTGAAACTGTGACATGGTTTGCATGTTTACATTGAACTAAAAAAAATGGAAACACATATTCTACTGTAAAGGTGTTTTAAGATTGAGATATTAGTGAGATTTTATGACAGTCAGGTGCTTCCTTGATGTCAAAGAGGAATTTAAATTTGTCTCATGACAAAAATGACAGTTGTACAGCTAGAGCAATAATTCGAACCAATCATACAGAGAGCACCACTGTGACAGAGTTATCTGAAGAAAGTGCTGTTGATGCTGGTTAGGAACACTGTATATCTATGAAAATAATGTCATTGCAACAGTTATACAAAAGCATGGGTATACAGGTAAGCAGGTATATATATTACACAGGAATACAGGTACAGTATAGAATGTTCGTGCATATGGGGGTAGCCAGATAAATAGCTCAGGTAATAAAACACAGCATTAGTAACTGAGATATTCTCACTTTAGGGCTTTTTCTTTTTTCTTGTGTGTCAATCGTACCTAAAACTTTTAATTAACATCTAAAAAACAATTCTAGAGTTTAAAAAAAAAATACAATATTATACCAAATGAATGAAAGCCTATGTGTTTGGATATAATTAAATCTAATAAATGCTCTATAGGACTATCAAAGAAAATTAAAAGGAAGTTCAAATGCAAAAAGGATTCCAGAGCTATACATTGTTTTTCATATACAATGTCTTTGGGAATATTTTGATTCTTACCATTTTTATCACTTTTGACGACTGTGTGGTAACCACAGGAAATGTCACTACAGGCTCCGCCTCCTGATACACGGCAGGTGGTGAGGTTTGATTTTCTGTAGGGTTGCAGGTATCTTCAGCAGTGGAAGATTGCATCTGAACTGACTTTGACTCCAGATCAGCAACCAGAGCATCAAGCTCATTGTCCTCCAGCTCATTAAGAGACTCTGTGGATGGCGTAACATCAAGATACAGAGTTAGAGATGAAGACTTGTAAAAACCACAGATTCTTGAAGTCATACACAGATTGTTACAGGGAGGCTTTCCTGCTGCAGTTAAGGTTTATGCATTCTTACATCAAAGCAATTTTACACAAAGGTAATGAAAAACATTGTGCTAAGCTGGAAAACTTGATAGGAGCTGAAAATGCTTCTAATCTGAAACGCTAAGTTCAAAATGGTTTTATTACGTAATATTGTTTACATTCTTACAGGAAAGGCACTGTTCTCATTTACCACTCCTAAAGCACAATGTTTAAGATTGGCCACTCTGACAAAATCTTCATCTGCTACTGTTATTGATTTCAACTCAGCAGTTAGCAGGATTGGCAATATTTTATCTCTAAACCACTTTATTGGTTAGTTGTTGGGAGAGAAAGATGGATTAAATAATATTGTAAATAAAACAATGTTCTTCGGAAACACTAACTAATATTTGATGATTAGGGTTGCCAATGTCAACTCATAAAATTAAACAAGGAACATTTCTCAGCAAGGCATTATCTGCCACTCTACTGATTTGTAAAATTGTTTGCCTTTTCTTCCGTGTGTGAAATTAGTTTCTGAATATTTTACTCAAACCTGAATTAAAGTTTTCTTTAAACACAAAATTTAATTTCTAAATATGGGCCGATTCCTTTTTTCAAAGGACGGTTGGTCATCATCTGAACTCTGTCCTTGAATGCAGTGCTAGTATTTTCTGGCAAATCATACACACTGGAAAAACGATCTAGAAGTAAGTAAAAAAATTACTAAATTAAGTGTATTTACCCTTAATTTGAGCAGGTAAATGAGATGGTTTGCCAAGGGAATTAGTATTTTTACTCTTAAAATAAGATAACTAGATAATATGCACTTGATATAAGACAATGCAACTGTGTTTTCTTATTTTAAGTGTAAATTGTCTTGTTCCATTGGCAAGATGTCTCTTTTACCTCCTCAATCCAATAACAAATGCACTTATTTTAAGAATAAATTACTTATCTAGATTTTGATTTTTTTCCAGTGCATGCATTCTGTGAGTTGACATCTGTCATGATAAATGCGGTTTATGGGTAAACTGTGGAAAGTTTAGAGGTCTTCTTTCTTTTTGCTATTTTCTTACGGTTTTAATAAACTGTTATGCCATGTCTATCAATAAACAAAATAAACAAACAAAAAAAAACACGTAGTATCTTTTTCTGTGAAAAAATAGTGTATGCATCTCAGAATATATATAAAAATTGTTTTCACTAATTTAGTTTGTGTTTCAGGAAATGTCAAGACAGCATAGATTTACCTCTCACCTTTCCATTAAGATTGATATTTTTTCCCCTCCTTGGAAAATGTTTATTGTGATAACATAGAAAAAGGTTTTATGTTATTAGATTTAAACTGGCCAAAGTATCTGAGGTATCTGTTACCGAGGGACAACTTACTATCTTATAATAAGCCTCTAACTTTGTGATTCCATTCAGACTGTTTCTGTGCAATGAACATAAATGTTCCTTTCTTTATTTACGTGTAATTTTTCGGTTTATCTTTGTATTCAATTTTTCAAGGTTGGGTTAGGTGGTAAACCCTGGTATGAAAGTAGGATACTGACCAGGTACCCATATCACATCTACTGAAATTCTTTGACTTAGAAATCATTTTCTAGATGTTTTCTTAAAGTTAGACTCATCTGCTGCCATTACTGAACAAGCTCTGATGTGGTGGCAACAGAGAAATCTGTCTGCTATTTAAATTTGATATACTGGAGCTGAACCTCTCATTGTGTAGTTTGCAGTGCTCATGCCCAGTGCATTCATGTTCTTGAGCAATATTTTTAACCCCAAAGTCCATTTTGATCCAAGCGACAAGGGCTGGTTTTAAAAGGAGATAACTAAGAGGAAATTAGTTTAGCTTTGTCTAGCGCTTATGCTTATGATATGACTAAACCTTTTTTTATTTAACTTCTTCTGTTTAGCAGTACTAGAATTAAATCTACTCATCACTCTCTACCTATTAAAAAACGCTGCAAAAACTTTTTTATTCATGTAGCGTATACCTTAAGTTAATGCATGTCTTTGCAGTTTATTATAATAAAAGGATTCTATATAATTTAATTTAATATATTCATCTAAAAACTACACAAATTTGCATAGAAACTAAATTCTTTATAAATGGATAAAAATGAAATTCAAACATACCTGCCTTTAAATTCATCAGACCTAAATCAAAGATTTTATAAACCACAACTTTTCACATCACCATAACTCTTGAATCTAGAGTGTTTCTGCTTCTGAAGAACTGCATCAGCAGATATAATATTTAACTGTGAACTATTTTGCTTTTAATAAAACACAGAACTGTTTCAGTATCTATAAATGTATTGTGAAATTATGTAATTTGCGAACTTGACCCTTTTTTTTTTTTTTTTTTTTTTTTTTTTAAGTGTCCTGTCTGGCAATGTGGCAATAAGAATAATGGTCTTGATGCCAAAAAGAGCGCAACAGATTTACCTTTCACAAGTGGAGCAGTACGGTTATTGCCATAGTATTCCGCTTGTTACATGCATATAAATTGCTTTATTATAAATATGCAGGGAGTTTTACAGATTATATTGACACTGCAATGTAAGTAGAACAAAACAGAACTTGACCCATTCTAATTGGACTTGACTAAAGTGGATCTTTAACAGATCCTGATGTCTTATTGGTTACTTTAACAAGCAAGTTAAATCAACTTCTTTGTATCTTGGTATGATGCTAGGTTTATTCGCTTTGCTCAATATTGCAGACCTAACAGTTTAATGCTTCCATTTATATTACATAAACTGGGTCAGCAAATTCAGGATCTTTATTACTAGTTTGTTCTGAAATATTTCTAAGCCAATAAGAGAGCTCAGCGAGGTCCGGGGTGGAGGTGGCTCCCTTTAGACAGGAGCAACGTTAGCTTTATCCACTTACTAGCACTGGCTAGTAAAAAAACACTCTCTTGTAAAATTGTGAACTTCAAGATATTTCAGACGATACTATGGCTGCAAAGATAGGAACAGGAGTTGGTCACCCACAGTGAGGTAAATTGGCACTGACGACTGGATTATTGGTTCATTCCATCCACCTGCCTAGCTCCGCCCAGTTTTCATTGCTTTTCATCAGATCCACCTGTTCAAGCTTCTATTTAAACTGTTTGGTACCAGCCATCAGTGCCAAATTATTTGAGCCATAGGTGAGAGTTCTCTAGCATACCCAGTTTGCTACTTTGATTGCCTGATGCTGACTATTTTAGTTTAGTTTGGGAAATTCCGGTGTGGATTTCTTTTCATCATTGGTGTCCTCCTTGATCATCTCCCGTTAAGTCCATTTTGGCTGAAACGATGATGTATAATTTGATCCGACACTTTCCCTTTACTTTCCCTTTACCTTAAAGTTCCAGTTTAATCTCTTTAGAAGTTTTTCTTGACGTTTTTGGTACCATATTATCTGTCTCTTTGATTTGTCATAATTTATAATCCTCCATTTGAAGATTTGATGAACGTTTAATTATTTCACTTTGCACAGTTATTTGTAAATAATGTCCTCTTTTCCTGATCATACACTGAAGAGATTTTTGTGTAAATTATTGTGGGCCATTTCCACATGACCAATCATAAAGCACTGATGAGAAATAATGAAGTGGATATGCTGAATATTTAACCAACTAATTTCTTCCATAACACCCTGTATATTGCTTTTATTGAATGTTAGCTACTCTTAGCTGATTTATTCTGCACCTATCTTAAATGAGACATGTGAGGAAGAATGAGAACTTGCCATTCAGGTTGTTAAAGCCAATGGAGAAGGAGCTCTCTTGTGTCCCATCCACTTCTGACGAAGCTGTTGCTTGTTCTAGACTCTGCAGAGTGATGTAAAAGGTCATATAGTTACATTTAAAATTATTTCTTCAGCTTTTTTTTTTCTGATAGCATCACAATGGATTATTTTGGCCCCATTAAAGACACAAGCTAATATACATTTAGTCAATCAAAAACAGACTGAGTGTCTTTGTGGCATCATCTTTGTATTATTTGGAAATAGAAACTACCTTACAGCTTACACTTGACTTCTGAACTTTGTTATCTAAAAACTTTTTACCATACTGTTATTTTTTGTTAAATTAAACACCTCTTGTTTTAGATGCCCTGCAGCAGAACACTTCTAAAACATTAAAAATCATGCAGCCACCCATGCTATTCTTGCAATTTTTTTTCTTTTTATAACAGATGTATATATTTTGGTCACACACTCATGTCTAAAGTTCATTAGACCACATGATGTGTTTCTAAATGTTAAGGTCAGTGTCTTGTGGGTATCTCTGTGAGACGTAACCCATCTGGGTCTTGAACTTTATAAAGGTTGGACATCCTTATGCAGTTTGTATTTGCATTGGATATCTCAAACAAACCCTGGATTTGGTGACTCTACCCAAAAAGGAAGTAGACTTTTGGATGTCCACAAAACTTTTTCTGATATCTTGGCTAGTGTTGCAGTCAAGACCGCACCAACCAAGATCAAGCACTGAAAAAACAATCTGGAAATAAGTAGAAAATGTCTTTAAAAAAGTCAATTTACCCTTGATTTGAATCTGTTAATAAGATGTTTTGCCAATGGAATTAGTATTTTTACTCTTAAATTAAGATAATTAAATAACATGCACTTGAAATGAGACAATGCAATAGTTTGTTCTTATTTTAAATGTAAAATGTCTTGTTCCATTGGCAAAGTGTCTCACTTACCTTCTCAATTTGAGACAAAATTCACAAATTTTAAGAAAAAATGACTTATTCTAAGTGACTTGGTCTTGGTCTTCTCTCAGTTTTCCTTTGTCTCGGTTGTTAGGGTCTTGACTACAACACTAATCTTGGCTGATTCCTTTTAGTGATATCATCTCACTATGTTGGAAGAGGTGAGGGAAAGGGGTGTTGTGGGTGGTGTTTCCGTTTTAAAAAAAATACACAGGTTTGACTCCATTTAACTCATATTAACAATAATGTTAATCCAACATCCCTCCTTGAAATGCCACCTTAACGTGGTGGAGGGGTTTCAGTGCCCAGATGATCCCAGAGGCTATCCTTTCAGGTGCCTAAATGCCCCAGGTTGGGTCTCCCAAGACAAACTGGTTCTGGGTGACGGGTCAGACAGAGAGCAGTTCAAAAGCCCCCATGAAGACAAAAAGATTGACATTGGTACGCTGGAGCTAGGGCCCCACCCTGGAGCCAGGCCTTAAGTCGGGGTTTGTTGGTGAACGGCTGGAGGTCTTCCTCATGGCATTTGGGAATCTACAAACTGCTGTCCAATCCACATGATATAAGATCTCTCAGTGTAATCCAATATTTTCCATATAAACATATAGTAAGTGATTTACTGACACTTTTTTTTTGTGAGTAAATCAGAAAACAAAAAAAGGTTGAGCTGTTACATTTAGGCTGTATGTGCAAATGTGTATCAACACAGCAAGATTTTTTTTATCAAATGAGGATTTTTAAAGCATTGTGTATGCCACTACATACTGCAAGCTTGTGGTCAGATTATAAAAAGCAAGATGTGCAAAGACTTTAATGAGGCCTTGACAGGTGCATTAATATTAATCAGAATGCTATTGCTATTGATCAGAATGCTAACATGCAGACTGATTTGCATGCAACTAATAAACATCCACAACTCAGCATGTATGTACGTTTTTTGTCTGAGAGAAAAAAATAAAAATAACTTACCTGAGAGAGATGATCCATCTCTCCCAGCAGGTCACTAAACATAGCCTCGATGTCGTCCATCTATCAACAGCAGAACATTTATTAGCATACATGTATCAAACTGAAACTTTGGGGTTGTACTTTGTCAAAATACAACCTGAAACTTAACTATGTTGTATTAGTATATGTTTGTGAAATACAATCCTGCACTAGGGCATCTAAAAAAAAAAAAAATAGAAAATGATTTTTGATAAATCAAATCTCTTTTATTATAAATCACCTGAATGCAAACTGTATCAAAAAGTCTCTGTATTTTTAAATATATTTCAGGTGCTGTGTAATTTAGTGTCAAGATTAGAGTAGAAGTTTGGAAAATGATCCTATACTGTTTTGATCTTGGTGTGGAGATACTTTCACTCCATTTGAGCCTTGGTCTTGTCACGGCCTTGCATCCCTAAATTCTTGGTTTCTGTGTGTTCTGGTTTTGATTTCGTCATGTCAAGCATGGGCTGAGACGTGAGTAAAAATGTTCATCGAAGCTTGAAAAGGTTTTCATGCTCCTCTTCTTTAAGATACCCTATTTAGCGATCATCTGTCATATAAATTCACATAAATTCATCGATCTAGGTCTAAGAAATGTGTATACTTTAAAAGAAACTGTACTTTTGTTAATGTTAGTAATACCAAAGGATAATGTATTACATAACAAAAAAACAAAACAAAAACAACCAGACAAAGCATTAGGAACTGAAATTTTTTCTGCCATTTTCAGTTCAGTTTAAAAAAAGGTTTCATGCACTTTATCCTTCCATAGTTGATTTTCTAACAGTAAAAATGATGTGCTTTCAGTAACTGCTTTTATTAATCAGGTTGGTTACAAAGACTAAAATAATATCGTCCTTTTCACTTACAAGTGAAAAAAAAGAACATTTACAGTAAGTAAAGTTCACACTAAATTACTCTCTTGACAAAAAGAATAGTCAGTAGCTCAAGCATCACTCTGCAGCTCCAGAGCTGATGATGCATAGTAACAAAACAGAGATGATATGCTTAAAATGATTTCCATGCTTCTCTGGCTGCGATAAACACAAGCTGCCTTTAATCGCTGGCCAGCATGCTTCACCACAAGTACACTTGGTGACCTCCTCCGTATATTCAGCATCACACCTCCTTTAAATCCTGACACCTTGTCCAAATGCATTCTCTTATGCTTCCACCGCATTTGTTGTTCGTGCTAAAAGGCAACATACTGTAGAGATGGACAGCTCAGCAGCTGGAGGTTTCCATATGGAGGCATCGAGTTACCAGCTTTCAGGGTAAAAAAAAATAGCTTTCATGTGGATGAACTTCAAAAATTAGGTGGAGAATAGGATTTTTGCTGTTGCTAAATCGAGGAAGGCATTGTACAGAGAAGCTTTGACCCACAAAGGGTTAAAGAGACAGAGGAGGACTGCCACATACTCCAAGCAGAAGATATAAAGAGGGGAAATGGTAAATAAGGACAGTCATTGTGGTGCAAGCACCCATGTTTTGACTTGACATGCTGTTTTTTTTTTACATGACTGAAGAAGTACAAATCTCTTGTCTGACTTTCATACTTTACTTGTTGAGTAGGCCATTTACCAAAATCAAAAATATGTGAGATATTCCGCTTGTGACAAATGCAATTTTCAAATCGCAGAGGCACTTAATTTTGGCCACGTTACATTAACAAGACTCACCCCAGCACTTTAGGTTGCAGTAATATGTTTAAAGCGGGTTTGCTGCAACACAAAAGGAAAGAGAAACTTCCAGCTACAGTTGCACGCAGATCCATGCATGCAGGTAGAAATAGCACTTTTCCAAACAAAGCTTACAGTAACGTCCTGCAACAATCGACTCTGCACATGAAAGCTTTCAAGGTCATGAAAAACTGAAACCCTGGAGTGAAACGTCTACATGCTTGTGGTTAGAAATAAAATAACAATTGCAATATTTGTTGAAAATAATCGAAATTTAGATTTTTGGCTAAATTGTTCAGCCTTAATGTAGTCACTTTTTCATAATAATTAATGTTTATTTTTGTTCTATGTCTTTTATTTGGTATTTAACGACTTTGATTAAAAAAAATTACATATCAAAATTTTTTGATTTCTGGATAACAGTGATTTATTTGCACTAAAACAGCTAAATAAACATTTTTTTTCACTCATTAAGTTAAAAAATAAAATAAAAGTAAATGTCAAGTTATATATAACATGGTATCAAGAAATTAGCTATCCCTAAATTCCATAATTCTCAGCTGGCCCAGGTTGGATTTACTGGAATTTTGTGAGTCATTGATACATTAATAGGCCCAGTTTTGCTTCAGCTTTTGTTCCTCTTGCAGAGGCTTCACATTTTCTTAAGGACCCTATATTTCATGGTGGAATTTAAAATAGATGCTATTATAGTGAGCTGTCCATGCTGCAAAAAAAGAATTTCAAAGCCATGACATTCTTCCCCTCACGGGTCAAAGTTTGTATGAGTTTTTTTTTTCCTGGAATGCTGTGTTTGGTTTATGCCACATATGTCCTTTATTCTTTTATCTAAATAATTCATACGTAGATGCATTATTCCAGATGTCCAGGAGTTTGAATGAATTATTTTTGTGTTTTTCTTCCAAAACAATGGCCTCCCTGCTGGAACACCTTGGATGAAAACAAAACTTTGAAACCTGTCTTTGCTTGTACAGGCATCCAGTTTAAATCTAAGTATGTCAATTTTTCTTAAAATAAGTACAATTTTCATTGAATAGAGCAGGTAAGTGAGCACCTTGCCGATGTGTATGTATCTACTCAAATTAAGTGTAAATACAATCAATTTAAATTTTTTTTTACTTAAACAGGAAGATCCTTATACAGATCCTGTAATGACATTTGAGGCTTATAAGAGATTTTTAACATCTCTAATTTGCTTTTAGTGGAAAGTTACTTAGAGTTCTGCATCTGGGTATGCTGGGACTGGTTTCATGTGTCTTACACTTAAAGACTATTTGGTTAATTTGAAAACTTTGAGAACTTTTTAAATAGTTTTCCAATCAAAAAGTTGTTCAAATTGTCTTTCTTATTCATCATCACATCATCAAATAGCATTCTTTCAATGCAACAGGATGTTCCAGCTCAATTCAACAGTCAGGAAAACACAAACGTAAGTATCTATGGTCTAAGCATTCCTCCTTAAAAATGATGGATATTTATTTTTCCCATTATGTTCACTGCATGCAAGATGCCTGTGTGTATACATGTGGCATTTGAAGGGAAATTAATTGTGAAGGTGTCATAATTTATTTTTCCATACCTGAAAATTCCTTTATTAAAATTTGGAAGAAATATGTATAAAAAATTTAGTTTTTGTTGTGTATTTATATTACCTGAATGTTATATAATAAAATATATTGAAGAAAAACACATTTAAAAATGAAACACCCAAGCTGTTGTGGGATGCCCTAATTTTTTCACATGACTTGTAGGATAATAGTGAGAAAGGCTGCCTATACAAACCTTTACGCAAACAGTTTCAGGCTACAGGCTTCACTGTGTGGAAATTTTGATATATGACTCTAATACTCAATGTCTACCAGGAGGCTGCTCAGTAATTCTGTGATCATAATTTATTTAAAGTCTCAGTAAACAGTTGCCAACTAATTAAAAAGCAGATTTTCATCCTGTGAGAAGCAGGAAACTTTCCGCTATTATTATTTTTTTTATCCAAAGTTGCTTGGAAACTTCAAAAGTCCAGTGGAATATTTTTTGTTTCTTTTTTTTTTTTACTTTCTTGAAAAGTAGCAGAAATGTTAAGATAAACTGTTGTTTTATTTTTTGAAAATAGCCCAAAATTTTGCTTAGAATTATTTATTCCCTGCTTTAATTTTTGCCATTTGGGGAAATTTCCCTGTGAGACTTATTTAACTTGACCAAACTTCTTATATGCATATAATTTAAGCCTTACACACTACTAATGAAGTTAAACCTGTAGTGTTTGCAGTATATATATGAATCAATGATTTGCCTCTCTAGAGTAACCACTCATCATCTTCATCCAGATGCAAACAATCCGCTGTAAATATTTAGAAACTGAGCCAGAACACATTGTGCTGTTCTGCCTGTTCTCCTCATGCTTAAGCTAAACAGACTACCTATCAGTTACTAAGAAGGTGAAGGGGAACAGGTACAAATCAGTCCTACTTTCACATGAAAGCGAAAAAATACTATTCAAACTTGAGCCTCTGATGTGGAAAATAGTTTTAGTTCCTGTCTTCTTCTGCTTTTTAGCTAATGAGCTGCATTCAGTAATAAATACTTTTGAGTTATATGAAGTTTTTGAGTATGACGCATGACAAACCCACAAGCAGGTTTTAATCCCACTGTCTCATCAGGCTTGTGCGAGTGTTAGTGCGGCCTCCCACCGAGGCCTCCCATAAAACTAAAGCATGAAACTGCCAAAAGATCATCAGGGAAGCAAACAATCCAGCTCGGGCCAAATCCGGGGTAAGAGAACCATTTATCAAGATGAAAGAACACAATTGCAGCAAAGTGCTGACAATAAAGTGTCATGTTAGATCCCTTCTTGTGGCCTGGGAGCCTCTTGGTGTTTGTTATTTCTATATTTATTAGTTGCACATCCATGAGTTGACTCCTGTGAAAGAACATGTGTTTGACTTAAACAAGGCTGACGTGGCTATTCAAGTATTTAACTCTTACAGGATCTGACAGTATGTGAATTCTGATTTGAATTTTCCCCTTTGCATGGAAATTTAAATGCACTGCAAAAGCTTTTGCATATTGATCTAGAGGTTTAGTATTCATCTAGACCTGTAAGGAAGGGTCGAGGAACATCACATCAGATAACAACATCAAAAGATGAAAGACTCCATTTACGGTATAAATGTGGTAAAACATTTCATGGTCAGGCATGAAGAAAGGAGATGTTGCAGTTCTACACTACACAAAAGCATCGCTGTAATACTGCACAATTAAACTTACAAACAAACATATTTTGATCTTCTAAATGTATTGCATAGTTACACACATTAATGCTCATCACAGCTAATTACAAAATAATGCCTTCTTACCTCTGCCTTTCACACAAATGATCACCACTAAGTGTGACTGATGAACAGCCCACACTAGGTGTCCTCTAACCACATGACTTTTTGTAGATATTCACTTAACTTCCTGAGAAAACAGGAAGTAGATCTAAGTCCTCTGGTAAAACTGTGAGTTGTTTTTTTTAATTATTTTTTTTTTCTAAACATATTGCATGCTTGCAGTGCCACAGATAGATTGAGGCAATTCTGCATGTCTGAGAGAGAGAAGCCACATTTAGAAACAACATTCTCTATGTGCAGAGTTAGACTCCGTGGCTTATTTCTCACACTCAATGCTAAATTAATCTCACAGTTACTGCACAGATGCTAGACAAGGACAAGTTTAAAACCTTTTCTAACTTATGAAGTTGAACACACATCTGCCTGAAGCGGCTGGTATGTTGTCTGGTATTTCCCATTTTCAAGAGGGACGAGGAGAAACGGTTTCCAAGTCACGTGTTAGAATGAATGTAATAAAGGGATGCTGTGAAATAGATTGTTTAAAAGAATGAAGTCTATTTCCTGCATTTTCTTGTGCTTATTTCAATTTATTAATTAATTTCCTTTTTTCAGATTATAAACAGTATTACTAAAGCACTTAAACAAAAAGTTAAAAATAAAACCTACTCAAAAATATGAACATATATAAATTTTCTGTTTCTCTAATCTGAAGTGGTTTTGACAGGATTACACTGCTGGCTGCCTCTAGAGTAGACATATCTAGATTCCTTTCCCATCTGGTCGAATGTTTTGATCTATCCTTGGAATGTAACTCAATGAACAGAACAGTAAAAGACAATATTGAAAACAGAATCCTTCTACAATACATTCCCCATCCCCAACTATTCAACCAGGGGTGACGTATGGTTTAGTCATAAAGTAGGTGTCCTGTATGAACGGGTTTCTTGCAGCCATACAAAAATCCATTAAAGACCTTAAGTATCTTCACTTCATGTCCTACTTAGAAAAAAAATTATAACGACTCATAATCAGTTTGTACAGTTTAAAGGTCAGTGATTTAACCGAAATGACTCTCCTCTGAAGGCACACCCTTATAAAGGAAGTACTTCCCATTCAACTTTGTGCTTCCAGTGGCCCTCGGTCGCAAAAGGCCTAGATTAAGCACTTCTAAGCTGAAAGTTATACTAAGTAGCGACCAAATCCCTCTGGAGAGGTCTGTGCTTGCTGGACTTGCTCGACTACCCTTCCTACGATTCAGAAGGAGCTGAATGTAGTTACCACCTTTTCCTGTGCTTCAGTTGAACGCAGAGCTTCATGAACCTACATTCTGCAGTAAAGAAGAGCTAATTAAGCTCTGATCGACCTAAATCTAACTGCCGAAGGAGCACGGTGGGCCCATTAGCTGTTTGCCAAAGACCCGTTGGAAGCCGCTGACCCATGCCATACTGGTCCTGCCTGAATGAGAAGAGCTGCCAGCACTGCTTTAAGAGAAACGCCGTTGCCAGTTACCGCCGTAGCTAAAGAGAAGACATCCCGGGCTACTGTGAGTTATAAAATTACTCTTGCAAAATTACATCGGATTAATCTAACTGTCTTTGAGAGCTGCCTTTGGTGGAATAGACTGGACGTTCATGGGGTTCAATCCAACCAAACAGGGGCCAGAAAGTCCCTGCCACCAACCCAAAAACAGTACCATCCATCTTTCCCTCTCTCCATTTGATGCTCTGCCTTTGTGTTTTATTTAAAACAAGCCTTCTGATTCAACAGCTGATGGTTTTAAGAATTTTAACTGAATCCTAAAACACTATGGTGACTGAACAACCAACGTGGGTCTGAAGACACTACTCGAGTGGACTGGCTAGCATCATTGGCTCCCAGCTACCTCATGGCAGCCACATGCCAGCCAGAGTCCATGTGAGCTCTAACCTTTCCCTTGTTTCAGCTGGACCCACCCGTACCAGACCCCCTGGGACGAACTAAACTAACCCATTCTCTTTCAGCCTCATAAAACTTTAAGGCATTCTTGAGTCATTGTTATTTTTTCACCATAAAACCATAAAACTGCACTGATCTGAATGCAATTAACAAGCCTGCGTCAGGGTTTATTCACATTCATCTGCTGCTATTTTAAAGGACACTTTCAATGCATTAAGCCTTACAACTTATTTTCATAATACTTTGTGATTGTTAGCTAATAAATGTACCATTGTAATTTACCATTGTCTTTGTGTGTATTTTATACTGTACCAGGAAGGATTTATCACTTAGGCTGGATTCACCCTTCTTTAAGCAGCTCCAAATGAACAGAGGTATATTTATTTGGTTGTTGATTAATAACTCTGCTAAATCACTATATTGGGGGAGGCAACTGGATAAAAACAGCCGATTCAGGATTCCATTCTTTTATGTAAGAGACTAAGAACCCTGGTCAGTAAGTAAATTACAATTATACGGTAATTATCATTCAACTAATAATAATTAATTAGCTTTACCCTTTACCCTTGATTTAAATTGCCTATTACCGGTAATTAACTATAAATTCCATTTCTAGTTATTAAATATATAGCTAATCTTTTGGTAAACTTGCACATCAAGTTCCGTACAGCACCACAGACTTAGTAGAATCTTAACTTTTGGGTTACTTACAGGAATTGTAAGAAGTATCTTCATGATGCACCCAAGCATCTTCATGAGGCACCAGGCAGCGGCTCGGCAAGGACTAAGCAGGAGAGGATGGATGGATGGATGGATGGATGGATGGATGGATGGATGGATGGATGGATGGATGGATGGATGGATGGATGGATGGATGGATGGATG